CACTCCCGCATCGTGCAACAGGCACATGAGGAGTTTGGTCCTGCATTCGATGCTCATTTTACTTACCGGAGGGGAGGCAGAGAGTATGTCATGACCAAGCCATCCGCTATTGCAAAAAGGTACACCGAGTTGACAGGCAAAGGTTTGGTGTGAAGGTGTTATAGATAGGATTTTTCTTTTGCGCAGTACAAATTTTACGAGAATGGGAACCAGTAATACGAGTATCAGTGCCTAATGGTCAACAGACATGCAACTTGTTGCCATGACTCAGCCGGCGGCCCACCAAAGTTGAACTAACACCACATTTTACTCAGTCCAAGCCCTGACAACAAAGTTTTCTATCAACCTATGGCTGCGACGGTTGACTCCATGCAATGTTTTCCTGGTTTATGCGGGGTGCTTTCAGGGTCTGCTACTGGCCTCGAGATAGATGAAATTGAAGAGGATGTTGCAGCGGAACAAGAAACTATAATTGAGCCCGGCGCTGGTCTGAAAACGGCGAATACTGGGTCAATTGATACTCCTGATTTTGTTAAATTGCAGATGACGCTCATGGAGGCTTCCAAGGGTCACAGATGGCACGGATGCTGAATACAAAAGGTGGATGCTTTTCAGCAACTCACCTGACGGGTCACTTATGCTCTTTGCAGGTTAATGAATTCATGTGTCTCATTTGCTATCAGGATCCGCCTTCTGGGGCCGGATGAGGAATTCTTCAGCAAGAGACCACGGGCTGATGCTCCTTTGGTAATTGTAGCCTGGATTATGAACGCGTGAGTGCCGCTTGGAGCCGATCTGTCGTTCTGATGCTGACATTTCATGGAAGCTGCGACTCCATTAATCTTGACGGCACCACAAAGCTGTGTTCCCAGGAACGGGGGACATATGGACATGCTCAGAAAATGCGAGCCTCAATGACCTATGGCTTCGGTAAGCTGAAGGGTCTCGGAAACATGCCATGGCATGAATCCGATGTTGGTGCCACCATGGTTGGCAACCCCTCAATCTCGGTTGAAGTTTCATCTTTCATGTGTTCGCTGCGGAGACGCAAGGTAGTGCTTTGTGATTTTGGCTGATTTGAGGCTGATCAAACTGTGCTAGGTTCAAGCTGGTGAAGTTGCAAACAGTGCTCGTGCTATAACATCGGTGAGTCACGTTGAATATTTTAATATTTCACTGGTGAAAATTTTACAACTCCTGCAGGAGATATTACTCAAATTGTACCACCACAACCGCCTTCCTGAGAACTGGACTGTCCAGCCGTATCAACCTGGCGAGCGAAAACCTGCAGGAGGCTCTCGTACTTCTGACAGCCTGGACAACTGGGGTGGTGGGCGGGTCCGAAGGCTTCTGCATGCTGCATATACAGTGGCATTCTTATGTATGTTGCGGTTTGATGAGGTCCTCAAGATACAGGTTCATGATCTTCGTGTGGCAAACAATCAGGTTGTGTTGTACCTCCCCTTTCGCAAGACCCACCAAAATGGAGGTCTGTGTTCAATCTGTATTTAAATTGCGAGCTGTGATTGAGATATATGATTTTAGATATTAAACCCTTTCATCTCTGGACCCTCTCATCTAATGAAGCCCATCTCTGTCCTACGAGAGCACTTGCCGCTTGGTTTGATGAGTCCCAGATAACGACGGGCTATGTTTTCCGAAAAATGGCATCTGGTGACCGGATAGCAGTGGCAAATAACCCTATGGTGTGTAATTAATGTGTACCTCGATGAAAACAGCTAAAGGTGCCCTTCTAGTCTTCAGAACAGTTCTTAGAGCTGTTTCGAAACAACCTTCTCGACATAAATATTGACCCTGCTCCTTATGGCACTCACTCGTTTCGTCGGGGGGGCTGCCAATATTTGCATATAGAAAGGCGGTGGCCCTTGAGAAGGATTTGTGAGTGGGGCGGGTGGAGCACTGAATTCACCAACATGACAATAGTCAAGTATCTTATCTCCTCGAATGATGACCCTGCAGAGCCAAGGGACCATTTTTTCAACCCCAACCAGCGCCCAGCTGTCAAGTGTCCGCAGTGTGGCCGATGCTGCTTATGTGCTTGATTGCAGTAGGGCAAAGGGTATGAACCTTGACATCACAATAGTAGCCTCGCTTCCTGTTGTACCCGAGACCAAACCAATAGTAGTAGTTCATAATACAGACGAGGTTTGCTGGGCTTCCTGCCGCGATGAAAAGGTACTGTCAGAGAGATTCAGAGTGGAATGCTTGACGCACGCAATACTGATGCTTTTATCTCCATCAGCCTCACCTAGTGCTGTCGCATTGTCTCGAACTGATTCTACAAAGACCATACTCCATGTCGCATCTACCACAGACACCAAAATGAATATGATTTCAGTATTAAGCCGAAGAGCCGCTCGCACCAAAATACCAACAAAAAGTATTACATCCCAAGCTCACAATAACCGCGCTCAAGATCAAGAACCTACAATCCCTCGCCATACTTCCCCATCACCCCCCTCAACGCCGCCTCATTCCCAAACCTCGGTTCAAAACACGCAGCAAACGGCTTAGGATGCACAATAACACCATCCACAAAACCCGACTCATCAATTGGGTTCTCAGGGTCCTGCGTGATCTTGAAAGACCACAAGAGGAGCGCAGCGTTAATGAAGATCGAGCGGTTTGCTATATGTTGTCCTGGGCAGATTCTGCATGTTGCACGTCACATTTTAGTATGTAGGCAACTGGGTTTAATATCAGGGACAAGTACCTGCGTCCAAAACCGAATGAAGGGAACTTGAGGTCGTCCCGGATTTTGCCGTCGGTGTTGAGCCACCTCTGAGGATCGAACTGGTCAGGGTTGGGGTAGACGCTTGGGTCACGGGAGATTGCCCTGTTGAAAGGTGATCAGTACAATATCGCATAGAATGGATGTTAGTCGTACCAGTGGTTGCCAAAGACGATAGCACCTTCTGGATACACGTATTCTTCTGCTCAGGCAGTTAGAACAAAAAAACATGACAGAGCACTGAAAAACGTATGTATGGGATATCAGTCAGCGGCACGGTGTGTGAATCCGAGAGTCGTCATGGGTCTCCAGCGAAGACACTCCAGCATGAACGCTTCAATCTGCGGGGAGGAGTTGTAGTCGTCGAATGGTGGGAGCTGTAACAAAGTTGAGATTTCACTCAGATGAATAATGATATTCGACTTACCTCTGTCACGACTAATGACGACGTCCAGTTCTTCTTGCACTTTCTCCTGAGCCTTGGGATAGCATGCAGAAGCTCATGACGACAACCATAATCGCAACAGCAGTCCGTGTCCGAACACCGACGCCAAAGAGCGACCCAGCAAGATAAGCCATTTCTTCGTCGAGAGCTTGTGCGAAGACTGGTTCTCAAGAAGATAGCGAGCAACGAGGGACAGCTTTGCTGGTCGCCTATGAAGAACAGTCAGGTACTGATGAGGAAAGAAGTGGAACCAACCAACCAATTCTCTCAAAACACGATCAAGCTGGTCATGGAAGAGCTGACTCTCTTCCCTTCTCCACTGCTCCAACTCGGTTCCATATCCCGGAACGTATTTTAATATCGGGTAGCGCTCTACCAGTAATGCACCAGGTCGCATGAGCATCTGGAAGCGCTTGAGCATTTTCTGGATGACGATGATCTCGGGGGGTCGACTTGCCATACGTGACACGCAAGATGACGGAGGCGGTGTAGCTTGAGTTGAATGCATAAGTGATCATAAAACAACACATTGAGTGCAACATACCGATTCGCAGCTGCTTGGTGTCCTTTAGGGTTATTAAGGATATCGAGGATGACATTACGGGCAGCATTCATCTGGATTGGCACATAGGATTCTGCAGCTTTCGCTTGAAGGTGAGTATGAGCCGCTCTGAATCACATAATTTCAGTAAAATAGGTCGTTAAGAGGAGATCTCAACCCAACCTGCGAAGTCTGTGGAACTGCTCTCCTGCGGGTGCAAGGATCAAATGCAGCCCGCGCGACAATATCTCTCCTGCCGCAACTGCACGAGGACGGTCGGCTAGTAGACTACCTTCTTTCTCCATTATATCGACAGATTCCTGTGCAGGTGAGTATGTACTTGGTGACCAGTATTGGAACCATCTTACCTGGTATCTGCCAATGATGACCATGATCTTAGGCCCGATCCGAAGCGAGATGATGGGTCCATAGGTATTGATCCATTCTGCAAACTGCTGAGATTGACTATGATGTGTTTCCCGTTAGTGTCCACATAGAGTTTCGTATTTTATGTACTCACTTAGTTCTTGGCAGAGGAGTTCCGAATAGCCAATTTCCAGGAGGACCAGGAGGAAGAGGCAGGCGTGACTTTGAGCGTATCTTAGCGCGGAGGAGCTTGTCGGCGAGAATGACAGCGACTAATGCTCCTAGGGCCTTGAACCCAAATGTCAAGTCGAACATCCTCTAATAGTTTATAAGGGCAAATACAGTAAAACTTAGTACAAGAGAGAGGACGGAGGAATGAAAGGTACTGACCGCATGGTGCAGCAGCTGAGTTTTATGTCGGACGAGGCTGACAGGCGCTTGACGCTGACCAGTGCTGATGGGAGACCAAGCCTATTCAAGGGTGATGGACTGACAGTTAGTGCGGCTTTGGGACAGCTCAGCCAGTTGTCATGAGACGCAACTCGTATGACAAATTGACAAATATCGATGTCCTGATCCACCGCGGCGTTCACAGTGGAGATATCCAACTTGCTGGAACAATTGAAACTTCTGGTCAATTGAGGCGCATCCAGTATATGTGATGGACACAAAGCTTCGGACGAGATACAAGTACAGTATGTCAAGATTTGTATCAAAGAGTGAGATCAATCAATTCACGATCATCATCATCACCTGTGAGATCAATTATAACACCGTCTGCGGGCACTGCTTCATCTTCATCTTGTGTGAGGTCGATGACGCTCGCAGAAGAGGCAGCAGCTGCGGAGGCCGCACCTGCAGATGACCCATGGACCACGCATGATGTCGACAGTGAATTAGTCTATCCATTTGTCAGCGTGAATGATGATGGTGTTGTTGATAGACATACCTCAATTGGGGATCACCTGAAGACGACAGGAACATGGTCCGCACCCAGCAGTCATAGATTTGGTCAGCGAGCCATACTCGAACATACTTATGTGAGTCATCCTGACAGCCTTCAGCTGACCCCTCAAGCAGCCGGAGTGTGGCTTGCTTCAGCGTATCAGTGGGTACATCACTGTTGTGCCCCAAAAATCCTGCAAGTGCCTTCTTCGGGCGTGATGCACGGCTGAGAAAGACAGCCCTCGTGCAGCCCGAGCCAAGCTCGATCTGCATCTTGTCAGTATATGTTCAGATAGAGCAACACGGTCCACAGACCTCATTGCTCATAGGCGAATTATTCGCAAGGTCCTCCAGAAGCTCGTGCAAGATGGCAACAGGCCAAATGGTAGTGCGGAAAGTGCCGAGAAGCTTCTTTGAGTCCCAGCCCAGGAGCTGCTGAATAAGAGACACAAGTGAAGTGAGGTTAGGTGGGGCCGGGGTTCGCAGTTTGGGCAGCTCAGTGAGTGGAGTTACTGTGGGGCGTGCATATAAATTAATGATGCCCGGATTAGGGAAGGAATCAGAGAGTGAGCGAGCGAGGGCTGGATGCAATCGGCCCATCTTTCCAGTTGGATCACTCGCAAGGTGATATTCAGCGATGTTCCGCCATTGCTGGAGGGACCGGTCCTGGTTGCCACCGTGCATAGCACTGCATAGCATACTATTGTCCATGCAGCGGGCCAGACCAAGTGCGGTCTCACGTCCGCACCCTGGAAGACCATTCTGAGACAGATGTCAGTGAGAATCAATGTTCGCAGAATGGCGGCTGAAGGCTTACCTTATCATAATCACCCCCACAGCAAATAGCAATGGTAATGAAAGCGTCACCAGTAAGAGAAGGGTCAACTTGCTCCCGGATGGTGCCGATGGTATATATCTTGATGGTGTCGGACAAAAATGTCGAGCTAAGGCAGGAGGACAGGGTCAGGAGGACACAGATGTGGAAGAAAGGCAGCACCTACTTTCGAAGGACGGTTTGGGCACCAAACACGAAGATATCACAGTCATCTGTCATGACCGCATTGATGACGCCAGCCCTATTCATCAAGGCCAGCTGCGCCTCAGCTTCCCCCGCAGCCTGGATACCAGGCTTGAATAATAAGGATAGAGGTGGCGAAATTAAACGCACCGTAATCCACTGAGTGTTGAAAGCATCCAGGATGCGCTGTGTTGGCTTCACCATCCAGTGTTCATTTGAAGACACCCTATGTCCTCGTTTAACACCAGGCCGCTGGTCACCGTCATAGCAGAAGATAAGCTGCAGTGGATACCGGGCAAGTCGGGCAAGTCGGAATAGAAATGTTCGAAGGGCGGGATTCTGCCCAGTCTGAGCATGTGCTCGGTGCCACTTGCCTTGTTGGCACTGTTCGAACCATCCGCTGGATCGTAGTAGACATTTAGTGTCAAATGTGGACATGGCCGCTGATATCCAAATGCTAACCTTGCATCAACCCCCACCACATAGGGCAGGTGAGGGGCGGGTCCTATGTAGCGGCCCTGGAGGGCAAGAGAGATGACAGGTACCATTTTTTGCAGCAGGCTCGAGTAACTGTAAAGCGACTGAGGTTTGAAATCCGGCAAGCGGCAGGTGCACATACCTCCCACAGGCCGTTTATACCCATGATGACAAGTAAACCCTCTAGTTTATTGCTGCGCGCTGGTGTATCTGAGCTAGTACCCAGATGTGCACAGGAACAAGTTAGCGTGCTGCCCCTAAACAATGCGCATTTGTTTACCTATGTTTGCCTTCAAAGGAGGGATGCGGTGTTTGGTCGCAATGAGCAACAAGAATGCGGCTGGTGACTGAAATATGGTGGGGGAATACGGTGATTTCAGCGTCTTGCAAGAACAGTGTGTTTTGTAATCTAGCGCCTGTACTAATAGTCACTTAAACGCATGAAAAGATGAATGTGTCCCTTAGCGAGTGCTAGTCAGACGTAGTTGAGCTGTTTACACCAGCGCTGGGGGTTCATGGACGGTTGAGGGTGAGATGTTGGGAGGACAACAGCGAGTTTTGATAATATAGCACCTGTACTAACAGTCACTTAGACACATGAAAAGATGAATGTGTCACTTACCTCTCGAGCACGCAGTTGTCTATGCCTGGGGCCGTCCCATGCTAGTAGATGCTAAACCAGCAAGCACCACATTTGATATATCAGACGTGGGATCGTCTTTAGCGCGCGTGCAACCGTCTTTAGCACACCAGGATGGTCTTTTTCTTTGCAGGATGGTGGATATGAGCGTGGGTACCTTGGTTTTTGCAGGGAATCCTGCACGTCCACTAGAGGTTTCTTGGGCGAAAAAAGACCCTCCCAAATGGCGTGACATCACGGACCCATCCTCGGAACCGCATGACACCTCCGCAAACTCAATGCGGGCGCAGTAGTAGCTTGATGCCGGCAATGGAGCAAGGCCTGGATTCCTGCATGTACTAGTCAGCACACATCTTCAATTCCAAACCATCTCTCAAACCGTCTCTCATTTTGAGGACTTGCGCTCCCATTCGAGATTCCACACTCCTTCCAGATCCAAACCAAACTCCATGCCCTCGGTGAGTGGACTACCCAGACCTATATACTTCCTCCGCACTTCTCGAGTGCAGACGCCCGTGACGTGAGGGCCGCATCACTGCGATGAACCAGAAAAGAGACGTTTGGCAGCGTCGGGACGACATCGTGCCCAACTCCCCGCTCCTCGTTGAATTCGCATGCCTTCCAGCTTCTAGCTGAGGGGTGTCGGGTGTCTCGTCCAGCGCCGATCGGAGACGATTTGTCAAACTTACGACAGTGACGATCGGTCACTGTCCGTCACTTCGTGACCGTCCGTGACTGGACCGTGGTTTTTCGTGTCGGCAGCTATACTTCTTCACGGACTTGATTGCTTTCCGTCTACATCGTGATATAGATAACAATAAAAATACGGGCTACAGTCAACAGCAAGAAGGCGGGAATCGTGACCATCGTGGATCGTGAAAAGCAAAATATGAAGTTATGGCCTAAGATACAAGGAATGGGATGAAATCCAATGAAATGCCGAGTGGGCGAGTCCATGCTTTGCGTAGCCTATCGTACATCTGAACATAATGAGAGGAAGTGATCATCTTAAGGACTCTTGTGAATGCGCATATGCTGGTTCAGGTTGTCACGGCGGCTGAACTCCCTTTCGCATCCCCCAACCGGGCACACCCACGCTATGTCAATCAAGTCAGTCACTCCAGCATGCAGGAAATGTAGAAAGTCTTCCTCACGTTTATCGTTCGTGTGAATGGACCGGATGTGCCTTTTGAGGTGCTCGCTTCTGACAAAACACTTACTGCAGCCGTCAACGTGGCAGGTATATGTCCTGGTACCCTTCTTTGACTTGTCTTTGCTGCGTGCGTATACGGGCTCCCCTGAAGAGACTGGGACCTTGCGTCCGCGGGACTTCTTTGTCAGGTTGGGAACGGGGATTGGCAGGCTGATGTCTTGGCGCCTACGACGACGGGACGGCGGCGGCAACGTGCCGGGGAACAGGGGGGAAGCTGGACCAACTGAATGGCGGTGTAAGGGCGAGCCAGATGCGTCAGATGGGCAATATGAATCTCCATCACTTTCGGCTCCAGACTCTTCTTCAGATGGGTGATCCCAATGGAAATGCCTGTGGGTAGCACGAGCGGCGGGAGGAGAGGGCATAGGAGGCAGATGGTCCGAGTGAGGCTGAGAGTGAAGCTGGGAGTGCTGAGACATCATGGGTGGGACGATAACATCTGACATATGAACGGTGCGAAGAGGTGGTTGCTCCATGAGGAACTGCTGATCGGGGTGCATGATACCCAGCGCATCAAACAGCCCTCCCCCAAGTCTACCGTTGCCGAACCAGTGTGGAGAGGCATCATCTCCGTATACGTGCTCCTGTTCGTGGGTTGGGGGCTGAAGTTCGAAGCAGTCAGATGAGGGGGAGCCTGCGGAACTGCTGTCGAGGCTTGGTGACACAGTGTTGAAATCCGACTGGTATTCGAGTCCATTAGCGTCATACATGGTAGAGTAACCCGCAGGAAGGT